GCCGGGTTGGATGGGGCCCTGGGCAGCCTGGGCTGCTGTGAGATGTGAGGTTGGTGGCCCTGCATGCGGCACGGGGTTGGAGTTTGTGATCCTCGAGCTCCCTTCCAACCCTGGCCATTCTGTGATTTTTTTTCCTCTTGTTTTCCCCATAGAGATGTTCTGCACCAGGTGTCCTGCTGGCTGGCAGCAGTTTGCCAAAACCTGCTATTATTTCTCCACTGAAAAGAAGTCGTGGATTGAGGCTCGGGCTGCCTGCTCCATGCTGGGCGCTCAGCTGGCCATCGTTAACAGCGAGCTGGAGAATGTAAGCTGCACAATTCCCCCCAAAACAACCACAAAAGACCCCAAACACCCAAATGAAACTCATTTAGTAGGGTGACAGGCTCAAGTTCTGCAAAGTGCTGGAGGTGAAGATGCTGCTCGAGGGGAGAAGCATCCAAGTCCCCCAAACTTGAGGTTCTGATGGGAGGTAACCAAAGCGAGCCGATCTGTCCCCAAAATACAGATAGAAATTATTTTGAAGTGACCAAAATTTTGTGATTTCTTTGGAGAATTCCAACCCCAGCAGCGCACAGGTGGGTGTTTCAACCCCGATTTAGACAACCTCTGCCTCATGTTGGGAAGTTTAGTTTCACCAGCTCAGCTTTGCAAGCATTTTTGGGGTGGATAAAAGCTTCTCCCTCCAGCACTCGTCAATTTCAGGGCTTTTATCCCCATTTCCTGGGCCACGTCATGCTTGTCCCAAGGGATGGGGCTCCCTGATGTCACCAGCAGACATTCTGAACTCACATCACTGCTCACCCACTTCCTACCCTCGTTCTTGGTTATTTGGGGTAATTTTTTTCCTCTTTTGCAGAAATTTCTAGCCAACCACATCATGGAGATACGGGCTTTCTGGCTGGGCCTGAGTGACATGCAGAAAGAAGGCGACTGGGAGTGGTTGGATGGCCAACCCCTCTCTATCTCGTACGTTTCCAAGCAAATTGCCATTCCCAAACAGCTTATTTTGCCCCAAAAAGCAGAACGCTGCACCCGTAGTGGCACAGCAGTGTGCTGTGCTCTGTTTTAGCATGGAAAAAGAGCACTGAAAAAGGTTTTGTGGCACCTGAAAGTGCAGTGTGGATGGAAAGGTGGGAGGAACCACCGGTCTGCGGGCAGGAATTGGGAGTTTTCCCCCAAAATCGCTTTGGTTTTGGGGCTGAAAAATGAGGGGATTGCACAAGGAGCTGCATCTCTTGAAGTCAAATTTCCATTTCCAGTCTTATTTCCATTTCTCATGCGTGGGATCTGGGAGAAAGCACTGAGGTGGTGGTTGGATGGCCAATCCCTCTCTATCTCATACATTTCCAAGCAAATTGCATCAAAGATGATGTGGTGCCATTGGGGCTGGAAGGGGAAAATCAGAGCTCAGAGAAAAGCGCGTTAAATGCAGATCCCCAAAAATCCTTTCCCCAAGAGAAGAAGAGATGGAGTAGGGTTGGGGTTGAACCCAGCTTAATCCCTTAAAACCCTCCTAAAAACCCGATCAAATGTTGAGCTTTTCACCTAAATTGTGGTCCTGACCCCCACGCAGGTTTTGGAAGAAAGGTGAACCCAACAACGTGGGTCAACACGGTGAGGACTGTGCCACCGTGTCCTCCAGTGGGCTTTGGAATGATGCTACCTGCACCAGCCCCGAGGCCTGGATCTGTGAGCGCAGCTGCTAACGGGATGCCCGGATTCAAAATGGGGGCAAACAGTAAGAAAAGGAAGAAAACACACCTGTACATACACAAAAAACAGGGGGGGAAATGTAAAAAAAAGAGCTATGAAGAGGAAAACCGAGCGCAAGGTGAAGGGTGCCGTTCTGCTGTCGGCGTGGAGGAGGTGCTGAAAATGGGAGAAAAACGAAAAACAAATCGGTCAAACGAAGAGAGAAAGTGGTTTTTTTGGTTTTTTGGTTGTTGTTGTTTTATTTTTGACCCGAATGGGGGTTTGCCCAAAATGAAGAAGTCAGCGTGGAAAGAAGGCATCGGGATGCGGGGTACAGCGCCGCGATGTTGGGGACGGAGAGGTTGGGGGAGGAAGGGGGGGGGAGTCACTCCTGGAGGAGAACGTGGAGATTTTGGGTGATGTTTGTTCACTTTTTGCGACCCGTTTTCCCAAAGCTCGACTCATCATCCCTCGAAATAAAGTCTGCAATTTGAACAAAACCTTTGTGATCTGAACCGAGGACGGTCCGGCTCGGCACCGCATTCCCAAACAAAACAAAAAAAACCCCACCCCCCGAAAACGGAAGCAAGCAAACATGTTTTTTTTTTTGGGGCGTGTATGCAAATCCCTCACTCGTGGGCACTGATGCACGATGGCTGTTTTGCTGATGGGCCCACAGCACCAATTCCCCTCCCGGGAGGAACCGAAACCTCAGGGCCAAACCCTGAAATGGGGAGAGCTGGAGGCGGTGCGGGGTTGGGGGCTGCGCCTGCGCAAAGAGGAGAACCAAAAACTTGTAGCATGGTTTAGGTTGGAAGAACCTTCCATGGCCTTACAGGAGACTTATGGCAACTGGTTGGGTCCTCCTCCGGTCCCTGCCAAGAGGCCGGTGAGACAAGCAGGTAAATTTGGGGTGAAATGGCTGTTTTTGGTGCGTTTTTGGGGACGGTGGATGGCTTGGCAATAGGATGGGCACCTCATTTTGTGGAGGGCATTGCTGTTGGATGGAGCGAGGAAAAACGTGCTTGGGTGCAAGTGGGTGTTGTTCTTGCTTAAGAAAACCAAAAATCTCCAGGTTTTGCCCCATTTCACCCACAAACTCCGTGCTGGACCTTAAGAAAGCATCAGCAGCATCCTCACCAGCAGCGACTGCGTTGCTTTTGGGGATCTTCATGTTATCCTGAGCATTGTTTTCCTTCCTGTTTTGTTTTTGTTTTTTTTGGCAGGAATTTACTCTGCTGCTGGAAAAATGACACCCATGAATGACTTCAGGCCGGGTGAGTCCTCATTTTCACCTTTTTGGGCTTTTTTTTTTTGGGGTGGCGTAGATGGAAAGCAGAACTGCCTGAGGTGTCTCAGGGCTTTATTTTCAGCTCAGTCGGTCAAACCTTTCTCTCTATTTCTCTCTGAATTTGGTTCCATCCATAAAATGGGATCCAATTGCCCAGAAGAACCATTGAAAATCTTCCCTGGGAAAAGCAGAAGGGAATTTTCTTGCTCACTCCAAGAGGGAGTCGATCATTTGGTGACTTTTTTTCCCCTTCCCACCATGGAGGGATTCAAACTTCAGCTCAGATTTGCAACCTGCTACCAAGGACGGGTTACAAAAATCCATAAAAAATAAGATAAAAATACAGAATTACACTTTTTTTAAAAAATTATTTTTTAAATATTGGGCATCAAAATCTTCACATCTTGCAGATTTACCAAAACAACCCCAAACTCTGCAGAGGGAACGATTAGATTCCATGCTTTCCAAAGGATTGAGGCCAGTTGTTGGCAGGCAATTTTGCGCTGCTTTTGTGCTGCTAATTTTGTGCTAATTGGCACAAAACCCACTTTTCCCCTTGTTGTCCTTCCCCCACAGCATCTCCAGACAGCTTTGCTGATGAGGATGACTACGATGATGTGTCGGTGTCGGGGTCGGATCGTGGCTACAACCCACCCACATCCAACAGAGATCTGCAGAGCCAGAAGGGAAAAGGAGGCACAGGTAGCACCCAGCTCCCCTCCTTGCACCCTCACTCCAAAATACCCTCCAAACGCCCTAAAAACGCCACTTTTTTCCTTCCTCTCCATACAATCATACCATCACCAAGGTTAGAAAAGACCTCCAAGATCATCCAATCCAACCGTTCACCTACCACCAATATTTCCCCACTTTAAAACCGTGTCCCCAACATTTAAATCTTTCTTGAAACGCCTCTAAGGATGGTGACTCTCTGTAGGTGTCTACATCCTGGCAGGGAAACCACCATCATCAAACCCGTCTCCAGTGGGTGAGTCGTTTCTGTCTGTCCTTCCTTGGGTGATAACAAAGACATCAGACAGATCCAGACCGTAGAGTTTTGGCTTCTCCCTGATTTCTCTGCAGGTAACCCCAAGCCCAGCAGTGAACATGGGCGACCATCGACGACCATCCTCTACATTTTGGTGGCCCTGAGCTTCGTGGTGTGGGTGCTGCTCCTGGCTTTGGCCGTGGTGAAACGTGAGTGGCCCCAGCAGCTTGGGGAACACCAGGATTGGTGAAAAAACGTGGGAAAAAAAGAAAAAAAAAAACCAAAACATTTTCACCACTGAGAATAAGAGACAACGTCTATAGGCTGGAATGCCTTGAGTTGATGTCGTGCCTTGAGCTGATGTCACATCTCAGGCCCTTCTGTTGCCTCAGACACTTTCGTTGCCACCCCATGGCATGAATTTTAGGGTTTCCAACCTGACCAGATTCTCACTTGCACTCTGTGATGTGAGTTTTCGGGTTTCCAAATGGTTCCCGTGCTGCTCCATCTGCCTCCTCCCACCCACTCCAACAGCACCGCGGGTGTAAATCCACAATAAACCCCTCCCTCTGCCCCGAAAGTCATAAATTGGGCAAGTGTAGACATCACTCGGGATTCTCTGCCAGAATCCAACCTCTCTTTCTCCCATCATTTCTATTACAGAGGTGGAAATCATGGCGGAGTTGGAGCTCTTGAGGTCAAACTACTCCGAGACCCAAATTCACAGTAGGTCCCTAAATTTTTTTGTGTGTGTTTGGGGTCCACGTTGGTGCAAATGGAGGAAAACGTGAGCTGTGATTTTGGTTGGCTCTTGGTTTTGCTCCATCTCTTAATGAAGCAACGCCGGTTGGTTCCAATTTCCACTGATCCGTGGGGAATTGAGTGGTGTGGGTTGGACAGCAACCAAACTCTTTCCTCAGTCCCAATGGAATTAGCCCCAAAAAGATGCAAATAGGATCAGATCTGCCCTCTGGGTGTCACGGGTTCATCATTAGGATCTCACCTGGGAGAAAACCCACCTCCTTAGGAGGAGGAGAAAGGGCGTAAATCCGACAGGAAATCCCACAGAACTCAAAGTGTGGTTGGCCAACCCTTTGGTCAACATCCACTGAGGGGTTAAGGAAGAGCTGAAGATTTGGATAAACCAAATTATGGGGTGGGAGGAAGGAAAGCTCACCCTGCTCTGTGCTCCCAGTGCTTCAGGAGCTGTCGGAATCCCGTCGGGAGCAGCTGTGGCTGCGGAGCGGGATGCGAAATTACTACAGAGAGCTGCAGGACATGGCAGGTAGAGCTGTTGTGGTTCAGGAAAAACCACGCTGGGCTTAAGGTTGGAAAATCTTTGGGTGATCCCTGCTGATTTTTTGGGTTTTTTTTTTTAATTCTCGTTCCAGCACGGATGTGCAAAGTGATCCCGGATAAGAAATGCTTGGCTGGTTGGAAGGCTTTCGAGGGGAACTGCTATTCCTTCTCCACCGAGAGGATGAGCTGGAGGGAAGCAAAGGAGATCTGTGATGATCAGGGTGCTCACCTGGTCATCATCAACTCGGATCGGGAACAGGTCAGCTTCCAAAAACCCCGAATCCCCATTTTTAGGACAATTCCTACTCTTGGCAAACACAGGACCTTCAAAACCTCTGGGTTTGGGGGCTTGGGTGAGCCAAGATTGGCTCAGAATGAGATGGAGAAGCTCAGAGGTTGAGTAAAGCTTCTTTTCAGGAGAAGATCCTCATATGGCATGCCTGGAATTACGGTGTTTTGGTGTTCTTTAATGAATTTGTTCATCCTAGGGCTTCCTGAAGAACAGCATTAACAGCAGCAACGTGTACTGGCTGGGTTTGACAGATGAGCAGCAGGAAGGCACGTGGCTCTGGATAAACGGCGATGCTGTCAGCACCAGGTACAGATCCCACACCTGGAATCCCCAAAAGCATCCCAAAAAGTTGGGGAAAAAAAAGGTCAATTTGAGCCACCGAAATGGGTTGCGTGGGTGATTCGACACAAAGCAAACGGGGAAAAATGGTGTGACTGGAGCATCTTCTCGCTGGTGGCAAAAACCACAGAACAAGAGCGATGTTCTGGGTGCAGGATGGGGCTTTTCAGCAAAAAGGAATTTCCCTTCTTTCTGGGAGTGCTCTGCCACTGACAGGCTCATTATAATTTGCCTTTTATCCTCTTCCCCCCTTCCTTCCTTCCTTTCTTCCTTCCTTCCTTCTCCCCTTCCCCCCTTCTCCTCTTCCCCCTTTCTCCCCTTCCCTCCTTCCTTCCTTCCCCCCTCCTTCCTTCCTTCCCCCCTCCTTCCTTCCTTCCCCCCTTCCTTCCTTCCCCCCTTCCTTCCTTCCCCGCTTCCTTCCTTCCCTCCTTCCTTCCTTCCCCCCT